CCGCGTTGGAAAGAGTCAAAACCTTACCTTATCTTTTGACCGAGTCCTACCTCCGCCGAATCAGTTATTTAATTACCATTAACTCACCTCAATTCGTTATGACCGTCAGACTAACTATTTAATTACTATGTGTTATGTGGCGACTATAAAATATAAGCCCCGCCAACACTTGAGGGGCAACACACACTCATTCGGGCATAATTCTCTCCTCATCCCTCTCAAAGCTTGTAATTTTTTGCTCTCCCTACACACATAAGTTAATAAAATACCGACGACCCTTGTCATTCAAAGTGGATATGAGTTATGTTGACCAAACCACTATAAATCTTGTCTCGCTCTCTATCTCTCTATCTCTCCTTATTTTACTGCATTTTATACTACTTGGTTGACAGGTTGTGTGTAAACCAATTTGTACATACACCGAGGCAAAAATAGCTCTTGATGACGATGGATCCAAAGTGGATGTAGGTAATGTTGGCCAAACCACTATAAATCTTGTCTCTCTCTCTCTCCCTCTACTTATTTTATTGTATTTTATATTGTTTACTTGGCAGGTTGTGTGCAAACCAATTTGTGCATACACCGAGGCAAAATAACTCTTGATGATGATGGGTCCAAAGTAAGTACCCTTTCTAGTATACTCAATACTGATGATGATAGTATGAGGATTGTTTCTGCTTATCATATTCCTCCGACTATGCTATGCCGTCGAGCTGAGATGAGTGAGCCCGCCTCTGATGACTCTTCTGGGGGCATTGTCATCTATGAGGAGATGCTTGAGGCTGGGCTTAGGTTCCCCATGTCTCATTCTATTTATCACATTCTCCATTATTTTTCACTCACACCGGGGTTTTACTGTGCTTTCTAGTATTGTTTTACCACGAGAGACAAGATGATCACTGGACTGGACTGCGCTCCAACTATCATAGTTGAAAATCTCACTTTATATTTTTTGGCAAAGAATGCACAGCAGAGGCTGATAGGATTTTTCGGTACTAAGAGGACCCCTAAGAAACTTTGTATGCCTTACTTACTTTGTCTTCTTTTTAAGGACCAAGAGTAGTTGTAGGCTGTGAGAGGGCCCATACTAAAAAAGATTTTGGAGTCTTTTTGTCCAAAGATGATGGTGGGAACAGTAAATCATCTCTAGGACCCTCTTTAAAAAGAAAGTATGTTAAATTATACCTCGGACAACACCTCTCCAACAGTGTCGCCCGAGGTGTGCTCTCCTCAAGCAACCCCTCCGGTGGTACCTCCGATGGTGCCTCCTCAGTCAAAAACTTCTTCAATTGCATCTCCTATTTCAAAGTTTCCCTTGCTGGCCACATCTTCTGCCCCCTGTTCATCTATTCCTCCTGTGGGAACTTCCAAAAGGGCACCGATTCAGATAAGCTCCATGTTGGGTAATGCGCAAGTTCTAAAGGATTGACTTGGGAAGGTTTGTGTTTTCNAACTCTCGCTCCGTTACTCTAAATGGGGTCCATAATATATCAAATCAAAAGCTCTCGGCAAACCCTACAAAAAAGGCCTAGAAAGACAACTTAGTGCTCTTCAAGAATCCAAAAAAGGAAAGGAATGAGGGAATTTGTATAGTCAAGGGAATCCTACAAGCAAAAGGAGTCTATTGAGAAGGAGGAGGTCGCCGACCACAAGGAGTTTTCAAAAAATTCAAATTTAAAAAGGGTTGCACACTATTTATAAAATTGAAACTCTTGACGAATCTTACAAAGCTCACTGCCTTAGGCAGTGAAAGACACTGTAAAAGGTCCAAAAAGGCCCAGAAATAGATGTTTTGGCTCTCGAAGTTTCTTTTTAAATTTTTTTTTTCAGTTGCTTGCTCGGCCTAAGAGGCTGTCTGCTTGCCCAAAATCGTGCATCCAGCTCCTGCTCGCTATTTTGACCGCAACTCTCACTCCGTTACTCTAAATGGGGTCCATAATATATCAAATTAAAAGCTCTCAGCGATCCCTACAAAAAAGGCCTAGAAATACAGGTTTTGGCCTCCCGAAATTTTTTTCAATTATACTGGTAAGCCAAAAATTCAAACTCAAACTGAATACCTTCCTTTCCAAGTTTCGTTAGACGCATGGTATTGGGGGCAAATGATGGGCCAAGTTCAAAGGCCTAACTCATGTTATAAGCCTGATCCGAGTTAAAGGCCCAATTCTAAGAGATCCACCAAGTTCAGTCCAATGTGGTCAACCTGATTAAGCTCATCAAGCTCAAGGAGCTACATCTAAGAGTCTCATCCTAGCCGCGTTGGAAAGAGTCAAAACCTTACCTTATCTTTTGACCGAGTCCTACCTCCGCCGAATCAGTTATTTAATTACCATTAACTCACCTCAATTCGTTATGACCGTCAGACTAACTATTTAATTACTATGTGTTATGTGGCGACTATAAAATATAAGCCCCGCCAACACTTGAGGGGCAACACACACTCATTCGGGCATAATTCTCTCCTCATCCCTCTCAAAGCTTGTAATTTTTTGCTCTCCCTACACACATAAGTTAATAAAATACCGACGACCCTTGTCATTCAAAGTGGATATGAGTTATGTTGACCAAACCACTATAAATCTTGTCTCGCTCTCTATCTCTCTATCTCTCCTTATTTTACTGCATTTTATACTACTTGGTTGACAGGTTGTGTGTAAACCAATTTGTACATACACCGAGGCAAAAATAGCTCTTGATGACGATGGATCCAAAGTGGATGTAGGTAATGTTGGCCAAACCACTATAAATCTTGTCTCTCTCTCTCTCCCTCTACTTATTTTATTGTATTTTATATTGTTTACTTGGCAGGTTGTGTGCAAACCAATTTGTGCATACACCGAGGCAAAATAACTCTTGATGATGATGGGTCCAAAGTAAGTACCCTTTCTAGTATACTCAATACTGATGATGATAGTATGAGGATTGTTTCTGCTTATCATATTCCTCCGACTATGCTATGCCGTCGAGCTGAGATGAGTGAGCCCGCCTCTGATGACTCTTCTGGGGGCATTGTCATCTATGAGGAGATGCTTGAGGCTGGGCTTAGGTTCCCCATGTCTCATTCTATTTATCACATTCTCCATTATTTTTCACTCACACCGGGGTTTTACTGTGCTTTCTAGTATTGTTTTACCACGAGAGACAAGATGATCACTGGACTGGACTGCGCTCCAACTATCATAGTTGAAAATCTCACTTTATATTTTTTGGCAAAGAATGCACAGCAGAGGCTGATAGGATTTTTCGGTACTAAGAGGACCCCTAAGAAACTTTGTATGCCTTACTTACTTTGTCTTCTTTTTAAGGACCAAGAGTAGTTGTAGGCTGTGAGAGGGCCCATACTAAAAAAGATTTTGGAGTCTTTTTGTCCAAAGATGATGGTGGGAACAGTAAATCATCTCTAGGACCCTCTTTAAAAAGAAAGTATGTTAAATTATACCTCGGACAACACCTCTCCAACAGTGTCGCCCGAGGTGTGCTCTCCTCAAGCAACCCCTCCGGTGGTACCTCCGATGGTGCCTCCTCAGTCAAAAACTTCTTCAATTGCATCTCCTATTTCAAAGTTTCCCTTGCTGGCCACATCTTCTGCCCCCTGTTCATCTATTCCTCCTGTGGGAACTTCCAAAAGGGCACCGATTCAGATAAGCTCCATGTTGGGTAATGCGCAAGTTCTAAAGGATTGACTTGGGAAGGTTTGTGTTTTCCAACGATATTTGCAAGATTAGTGCTCTGGGCACCAAGGGAATGGTTAGCTCTTTTTTGGAAGGCCTGGCTCAGGTAAGGGTTTGTTGTCGTCTCCCTTTCTCCAGTCCCTCCTTAGGCTTCTGAAATTCCTTTGGTCATTCTCACAGCAAGCTGAAGCAGGATCATGATGTTGTGCAAAATGAGCTTTTTGCTGCTCAGGGGAGGATTACTGAGCTTGAAGCTACTGGTAGGGCTTCTGATACTGATCTTATGGCGACTCGTAAGAAGGCGACTAGGCTTGAGACTGAGCTTTTGATGACCCATGAGAGGATGACCAAAGGTGAAGGCTGTTCAGGAGAGAGCAGCTTGGGCTGAGGTGGACCTGGATAATGGCCTTGTAGATGTTTTCATTGACAGTTGTAAAAGTGGTTTTTGCCACTGATGATGCTCCTTTGAAGTTGAATACAAAATTGCAAAGATCTTTTTTGGAATAAATTTAGAAAGTTTTATTTATTCACTGCTCATGTCAAGCAATATTGGGTAACAACCCCCCAAAAAGTACAAAAAGTAAAACCAAGTCCCCAATTTTTTTACTCTCTTAAGGTGTCACTGATAGTATCTGTTCAGGTGCTCAGCATTCTATGGATGGGGCAAAACCTTCCCCTCAAAACTCTGTATCTTGTAGGTGTCATGCGGTGCTTGTACGCCGTATTGCGGACCACAACCATCTCCTTTGCCTCCTCTACCAAGTCGAGGTTGATGGAGTCCTTCCTCATCGATGATGGGGTTATGGTGTTGGATCCTTAGAGAATGCACCTCGATCTCCATAAAGGATAACCGTCTCAGTTCCAAAGGTGAGGGAGAAGGGGGTTTCTCCAATTAGAGTTCTTAGTGTAGTTCGGTAGGTCCATAATACTCTTGGGGAGCTCGTCAACCCAAAGACCCTTAGCCTTTTCGAGTCTTGTCTTTAGGTTGCATAGCACCGTTCTCACTATGACTTCTGCTTGTGCGTTTGTGGGTACGTAGGGCTGGAATGAGGCTGCTATATTTGAAGGTTAGAGCAGAAGGAGTTTAGGACGGGAAAAGTTGCCTGAGCCACCAGCAAGGAGATCCTGAGGAATCAGACTTTGAGGAGTTTCACTCAAAGGAACTGGCCCATCGCTCCCCTCCACCTCGCGCGCCCTAGCAGCTCTCCTAGGGTGTCCGTGCGCCCAGGCAGCTCACCCAAGTTACCTGATTTGCTCGCTTAGGTTACCTGAATAGGCGCCCAAACCAGCCTGCTCGCCCCTCTTGATGCACGCTTGGCCCCTCGTGGCCTACTCGCCTAAACCATGGGCAATGGGCAGCTCACCCACCAGGCCGTGCCGCTCGCCTCTCTGCTCCACTGCGCGGATAACGCGCCCAATCTGTCCCAAATCAGCTCCTTGGGCACCCAAGTTGTCTCCATCATGGTCTCCAATCAACGGATCATGAACGACAGTGCCATTTAGCCCCAACGACAGCGAACGACCCAAGCACCTCCACGCCGACGCCTACCTCCTCATCCTCCTCTTCGTTTTCGATCACTACAACCTCCTTGAAGGATTTTTGGGAAATAAAGCTTTCCCTCACTCTCTCAAAGTTTATATGGAATTGGGTGGAATGGGGAAAAAACTTCTATTTATACCAAGGGTAAATTTAACACACTCATTTGGACATAATTCTCTCCTCACCCTCTCAAAGCTTGTAATTTTTTGCTCTCCCTACACACCTGAGTTAATAAAATACCGGCGATCCTTTCCATTCAAAGTAGACGTAGGTCATGTTGACCGAACCACTATAAACCTTGTCTTTATCTCCCTCTACTTATTTTACTTAATTTTATACTACTTATTTGACAGGTTGTGTGCAAATCATTTTGTGCATCATCAGAAATAAAAGCATTCGAGTCACCAATTACAACAAAGCATATCAACACAAAACAGAAACGGAATAAAATTTTCTAAAGATTAGGCAGGAAAATCAAATACCAGATACCAGAATCAAATAGAAGGATACCCACTTGCTTTAAACAGGGTAAAATCCTCAAAAAACCAGAAAGAGAAATCGAAAAAGAGTGAACTTGTTTGAAAATAGAAGAAAACATACACTTTCAATCCAAAAAAAAATTACCCAGAAAGGCCATAACAAACAATACAATTGTATTGGGTGTAAATCACAGACCCAGAAGCTTGAAGAACGGAAAAAGGAAGAAGACGCAAACCCAAATATTCAAAATGCCAAGAACCTTGATATCTGAAAACTTAGAGACCTTGAAATGCTAGGAAATACCAAATCAAACATCACAAATATGCAACCCATTAAAACACACACACACATAGAGATTGAACAAGAAAGTCAATGACCCACTACCAGATCAAGAACAAAGACCACATTAAAAACCAAAAAAGAGAGAGAGAGAGAGAGAGAGAGAGATCTTGCAATACCTCTGTTTTGCTGTTGAACAACGGGTCTCGAATCCATCTCAAAACCTTGAATCTTCCCAAGAACTCGTCCAAATCTCGGAGACAGAGACGCACTACATACTCTTCCCTTCTTCTGGGCTGTGATGGCTACGCTTCTCTCTCTCTCTCTTTCTCTCGGTCTTCCCTGTTCTGGTCTGTGATGGCTACGCCCCTCTCTCTCTGTGGTCAGCGTATTATTACTGTTATGAGAAATAAGGAATTTTGGGGACAAACCTATTTGAAGCTGGAGACGAGACTCCAACGGTCTTATTGCATATGAAATGATAACCGTTAGATCTCTAGCTAATCCAACAGCTTTGAGGACTGTTGGGACTGTTCGAGAGTTACCGTTGGCGAGTAACAAAAAACTAATAGCAAAAGGGTAATAATGGGGCGCGATACTCTTACTACAAGCTCCATAAATTTTACGTGCAACTTTGATTCAGAAAAAAAAGAGAGTAATACTACATGGACTTAAAAATTAAATTTAAAAATTAGACTTAATAATCTCAAATATTAAGTAGGTAGTGAGTCCCAATAAATACTGAGATCCACAGTAAAATCAATGATTGAAATTATCAAGTCTAATTTTTAAATTTATTTTTTAAGTTCATGTATCATTACTTTTCAAAAAATAAACATGACATGAAAATATAAAAAATACACATAGGATAAGAATCCGACCAGCTTTTTACTACCATAATACCAAGTAAATATTATTGCGGGAGTCTCCGACCAGCTTTTTACTACCATAATATTGAGTAAATATTATTGCGGGAGTCCCATATAAAGCAAGTTTTTTTTAAATGTGATTAACATATTAAATATAAATAGGATAAATTATTGTTGATGATGTACAAATTAATTTTTTGTAGGTCTCGATCATTATTAAGACTCACTGTTAATCTCAAAGTAATGATTGATTAGATCAACAAATTGGCTTAATAAATTAAGTTAAAATTATATTACTTAATATATATTAGTACTAGTAATTGTCCGTCCTTGAAGACACTAATTACTCGTAAAAAATTACAAATATTTGTTCATAAATAAACACAATGTCTAAGGGTGTATTTGTTAATCCAAATTCAGCACTTAAAATTAATGTATTCAGCACTTATTAATTAAGTCCGTTTGATTACCAAAATTTAAACTCTCTTAATATGTTAAGTGCTCCTTAAAAATATACTACAATATTAAGTAGGAGATCTCTTACTTAATTCTAAAAACTGAAAGCGTTCAACAAAATTATATGTAATAATATTTATAATATGACAATTATACCCCGAAATATTTTGCAATCCTATTAAAACTCTAATTTGTCTTCTCTTCAAAACTTCTAACCTATATATTCTCCTTGTTGATCTTTTTTTTTTCTTTCCCTTGTCTTTTGTAACACACAACACACACACATATTATTAATGAAATCTAATTTATTGTATTTTTTCAATATTATTTGATTATTTATTAGTTATTGTTATTCTTTTTATCAAATGTTATTGTTCCCTTATTATGTTATTCAATTTGTTATTGTTCACTTATTGTGTTATTCATATGTTATTTATTTATTTATTTTGATCAAATATTTGTTAAATGTAGATTACAATATAATAATAGTTATTATAATTTATGTTATGACATATTTTATAAATATTTTTAAATTAAAAAGTGGAAGGGTAAAATTGAAAAATTAATTTATTTTCAGACGTCAACTCTGTGTAGTTATTAAATAATTTAGTTCGATTCAATACTTAAATTTCAGTGAATACCAAATAGTCCATAAATTCACCATTCAGTTTTCAGACTTCAACTTTTAACTTTCAGACTTCAGTTTTCAGTTTTATCAAACATCACCTAACATAATTTGAACAATACAATAATCAAATTGATATTGTTCAATTTTATATGCAAAGAACATATATAATTAAACTTTTATATAACGAAAGTCACGTTACAACTACTATAACATATTAATTCAAAAATTTGAGAAAATATAATTATTATTGTTCAAACATCTACGATTTTAACATTTTTAATAAACTTTATCTCAATTTGAAAAAATTAAAATTATTTGTGTTTTTACAGGTTTCTATATAAAGTTTATAACATTATCTCTGCACTATTTTTTCAATGTGAGTTTGTGTTACTTTTGTGAGGAAAACATTCAAAAGTTTCACGTGAATGCTAGTAAATGTAAAAATTTGTTAACAAATTAAAATCAGTTTATATTTTAGTTCAACTTAAATATTTGTAAAATTCAATCGAATTTAAGTTTAAGTAAGAATTTGTACTTTATACATGATAGTCAAATTCAGCTCAATTCGAATCTCAATCATAATTATGTTAAATCGAGAATTGAATTTAAGTTCGACTCAATTAACACTTCTATCTTAAATCTACAAACTAATTCTTATATATTCCCGTTCACAGTGACACCATAATTTTTTTTTAATTTAATTATTCTTTATTATTTTTACAATCAATTTCAATTTGACTTCAACTTTGAATACTTATAAAATTCAAGCAAAGTTAAGTTTAACACAAAAATATATATGTTATACTCGACAATCAAATTCAGCTCCATTCAAATCCTAATCATAATCACTTCAAACCAATAATCGAGTTCTTGAATTTTTTGCACGAAATTTTTTTTTTGGAGGAGTAGTTTTGATCATTTGATCAATAATCTTAAAACAATCTAACCCACAAAAAATCTAAGACAACCTTAATATCTATATAATAAAACACATAGTAACTTGAATTTTTATTCCCTACATATTTTTTTCCCCTAAAAATATCACATCATTCATTTCTATTATATGTTTAATCATTTATATATTTTCTCCTAAAACATCACATCACTCATTATTTAATCATTTAATATTTGATTAATTTGTAGTTAATATAATTTTTATTTCAAACATTATTCATATACGATAGTATACACATGTCGAAAATATTTAATATAGTGAGATCAATATTTTGGACGGTCGAATTTTATATTTTATCATGCCTTCAGACACGGGTTATGACTAGTATAGATATATCACAAATTATATATATATATATATATATATATATATATTATTTGCGTGTTATACTATTCGAATATTATAATATTTTTATTTCAATATAAATTATAACCTATATGTAAAAAATCTGTATTTAAGGTCCATTTGTTTATTTAAAAATTTTAAAAATAATTCATAATTATATAGAATCATAATTGACGACCTAATTAATGTGTAGCATGAGATAGAGAGAGAGAGAGTTATCAAAGATATCGAAGTCTTAGAATTGTGGAAGCAATAAAAATCTTGTTCAAAAAATTGGGAGAGTGAATTTAGCGTTAGGACTATCGGATCAATAATCGTCAAGCGATATAAGGAGAGATAAAAACCATGGGAGAGATTACTTTTTACTGGGAATAAGGAGAGATAAAAACCGTCAGTAACCGTCTAAGTTAATCTCTCCCATGGTTTGACTGGGAATAAGGAGAGATAAAAACTAATGTAGTAGAGTTCTGTATGTTGGACCAAAACAGTTTTTTAAGTATAAAAATTGAGTTTTTGGTCGACTTTGAGCCTAAATTAAAATAGGACCCGATTGTTATTTTGAATAAAATTTCATGGGTTCATATTCTACTCCGTGAGGAGAATATCATGGTATATTCATTTGCTCAAATCAAGTAAAAAATGAAAGAGAAAATAGGCTCTAAAGTGACCCTCTTGAAATGTAGACATAAAGGAAGTGCAATGTGGGATGTGACACCAATTCCACATTGGTTGATGAAGAAATTTAACATGGGTATATATAGGTCAATTTTGCTTTACGGGATTGGGCCCTAAGGGGTACCACAACTTTATTAGCTGAGACAGCACCTACATGCTTCGGTTCAACCACACACGTGCGCGCGCCGCTCGCCTCACCACGACCCGACCAGGCCGGGCTCAAGCTCGGGCTCAGGCTCGGGCTTGGGTATGGGTGTGGGTTAGAACAAGCCTTATTTTTTGGAGAAAATTCATTTAATAATTGGGTGTAAATTTTTTATCCCAAAATTTAATTTTGGTACCCGTTCGATCGCACTGGGTCGGGTTTGTTGCCTCCCTCCAGAGCGAATTAAATTGTGGGAGAATAGTTACCCAAGGTGTCTATTGGCTGTTGTGTCTTGTTATTTTGGGTTCTGTCTTTTAGTTTGGTGACTGTCTAGAAAGTCACCAAAGTGTCTATAAATAACCAGACGCATTATCATTCTAATTAATTAATTCATTCAGTCCGTTTTTTCGACATTAAGGCAGACATTATAACATATCATTTTCGACATTAAGACAGTGCATTTAGAGAGTACACAACACGATTTTGGTTCGTTTGACGAGCAAATTGAAGTGCTATTTCTATTCGTGTAAAAATCATTGTATCCTAGGAGGCAGACGCTCGGTATTCTATAAGCACCGCGTGTTGGGGGCAAAAACTGTCTTAAGGACATAGTGTCATACACTAGCCTTGATTTACCTAAAGTTTAATAACAATTCCTGTTCTGTAACCGGGTTAGTATTTATATTAGTTTGCCAAAAAATTACGTGTAACTCTTTCGTTTCTGTGTAACTCTTTACTGTAATTGTTTTATTTTGTGAAATTGTTCTACAGTTCACACATACTGTTTTATTTTATTTTATTTTAAGTTACATAATATCAGAAATTTCAATAAGTGATTCTACTATATTTAAAACACCACAACCAACAATCCTAAGGCAGACCTCAAATTTGTATAGTTACTTATTGTGTTTCTGATACATGTTTAAAATTTTAGACTGTTTGAAATACTACAAATTGTTAAAACCTATTTTGTTTGCAATC